TAACAATAGCTTTTACCACCTACAGTATTGTGCATGGGGGCGAGGGTCTGGGCAAAGTGCGATGAACGTGTGACGAGATCGTGACGTCACGCATTTTGTGAGGTAGGCAGTGCAGGCAGTGCTATATCCAGTTGACAATTTTGTGGCTATCGTATTAGGTCTATCCTCAGATCAACTTGGTTAAAATAGAGCTACAAATCACATCAAGCCCATTGAAAATATATCATTTTGGTTTTAAGAACTGTAATTTTTGTTCGTGCATATTTTTCCTGGTATATTTTTGATTTGTTAAAAAAGTGACGTCATACCGCGTCATACGCGGAAAGGCGGGGAGGGAGTCAAAAATCACCACAAAAAGCGTGACATAATTTGTGAACGGCCCCTAAGAGGTGCCGCTTTCCTCCCACGCCCATCCGCACGAGCTCGGCGTCTCGAGACCGCCCCCGCCGGCCCCGCCAGGCTCGTCTTTGCCCGCCTCTTTTCGTCTGGTCCGACCAGCACCAGCCAGACTAGAAGTTTCGGGGGTCGAAGAGTTTGGCCTTGAATCTCATCTTTGCTCCGCGCCGCCGGACCGAGCTGGATAAGTCGGGGCGGCCACGCCACGCCACACCACACGCGTCTTGGTGCTCCGCATCACTCGGCATGTGAAAAGCCTCTGGGGAAAGGGAGGGGGAGGGAAAATTGAATGTTGCCAATAAGTGTACTAAGAGGGTAGTAGTCCAAAAAATACCCCGGCCAGAAGACAACGTGTCAGTCGCTATATAGTTAGGGGGGACAGTACCCTATAGAAAGCCACTTTGGCTCACTAGGCTTTCGGAGAAGACACCGTGTAAAGTATACGTACATTGCAGTCCTGGTACTGTTGGTTTTGCGGGATGTAAGTGATATGATCAAACGGTTGTCTGAGGAGCGAATCGGAAAGTTAAAGAGCTTACATTTTTCTACAATTTTTGTTCTATAACATTCTTTGCTGGACTGCTTTTTACAACCGCTGCTCTTTAGCCCTGGTGATTCACCTACATTATTTCCCCTCCTGTAGCACCTAAAAGGCTTCAGATTAGAGCAAAACGGACGGATTTTTCGTCCGAAGAGTCTCAATTTTACGAGGTATCAGTACAAACTTAAATTTGAAAATTATACAAAATAGTGGAAATAGCAGCTTTTGGAACGAATAATGCCCAAAATGCTCTGTCAACTCAAATGTGTACATAATACACATTAAATAAAGTGCACATGGCATGTATGCTTTAATTAATACGTACATGCCTATGTACACATTAATTAAAGCATACCGGGTGGCTGATTAACCCCGCGCACTTCTGTAGTTAGACTGTACCGCACGCACGAGTGCGGGCGGGTTGCCTACTCGCCCGGCCCGTTAGGCGCCGTGAACAGGGGCGATAGGCAAGC